CGGTTCATACCGAATACCGGTGTGGATTTGAGTTGTGATATGAATTTTTAAAATACCGCAATACCGGTGTATGTCACTTAATTAAACAACGTTCGGAATGCGACACTATTTGAAAGAGGTCCCTTTTCACTGTCACACTGTGTTGAGGGAACAGCTGTATGTGTTACTAAGCGTGAAAGTTCCGAAACTGAAGCTGTAGAACTAATAGAACGTGATGACACAGAAGAACTCATCCACAATATCCACATTGACCGCCACAAATATCCACCGCCCCTGCCATCAGCTCCCGCTTCTCACACACACGAGCGCGACTTTAGCACTAGATTTAGCAACTTTCAGACCCTTTTAGCGGCTTTTTTCCATAGAATATTCATACTGACAACCCTAGCGACTTTTTTGGATAAACCTTAGCTATGGTTCAGTTGAAAGATTTCACCACTGCTGTCCCGCGAGTGCGAGGTCTGACTTTCCCGGAGAAGTGTCATCTCTCTCGGCGTCTGTTCTGTGCAGTGAGCGGCAGAGAAGCAGCGCATTCAGTTGGCCGCACTGCAGCCGACTCGTCAATAAATGAGTACAAACCAGCGTTTCCTAGCACCTGTCGCTTACTGATTGTTTGGAATTATAAATATGAGCATAGTTCGTCTTTTTTGTTTGTTGTTTTTTTTAGTTTGTTACTCAGACGCAGGCAGTGCGCTGCATGAGACAAAAAAGTAATATAGCTAAAACAACCGCATAGCCGCTCTTTAGTGTAGATGCTTGTTGATTTTATCAGACGATGCCGCGATTATAAGTGAGAGTGACTCCTGGTTAACATGTATTAAAAGGGGTCGTGTTTAGTCACCATTTAGTGTGGTATTTTTTGACTATTCACTCATCATGACAGTAAAATAGGGCATTCTAAGTCAATATACTGCAGTATTTCCTCTCTCAATCGGTAGAAAATATGGTTAACACCCGGTCATGCATGGAAGAAAAAAAATACCGTCATGTACCGTGAAACCGGTATAATTTTGAAAAATACCATGATATAAGTTTTTGGTCATACCGCCCAGCACTAATGCTCTGACAAAGCAATGGTGCAAAACGCAGTGTTAAAGACTTTTTATGTTATAATGAGAAGTTTAAATATATTTTCGGTTTATTATGAAACTCTAGCGGGACAGATTAAACTGTGGCGGGCCACCACAGTCTAGTTAATGAATGGGAAACACTGCATTAATAAGTGAACCAATAGAACCCTATATTATAACCTTAAAAACTGTTTCTTGTATTCCCACAGGGGACCCACACAACGATCCTAATGCTCAAGGAGATGCGTTTAAGACCTTGTTTGTGGCTCGAATTGTGAGTTTTTTTGACAAGAATCTAATTGTTTAGAGATTGTCCTGAAGACTCGCATCTTACATGTTTTTTTTCTGTTTATGCAGAATTATGATACCACCGAATCAAAACTACGGCGTGAGTTTGAAGTCTATGGTCCTATCAAACGGGTAAGTTGTACTAAATGTATTATGCACGTTTCCATAGTATGCTACTACCCATTTGTTATCCTGCAGAATCATCCCTGAATTTATCTGGTTTTATTAGATCTATATTGTGTACAACAAGAAAACTGGCAAACCAAGAGGCTATGCGTTCATTGAGTACGAACACGAGAGAGACATGCACTGTGAGTAACCAAGACTTCTTGTTCTTCTTCAAATTCCTTAAATGACTAAAAGCAAGGTTCAGAACAGCTACACCATCTGTTACTACAATGAGTCATTTGTTGTCTTTTCTTCCCTTGAAAACTATTAATTCATATTTTATTTTGAAGCAACAAAGTGTGTTGGTCATAGTCCATCTGTTCTAGTGTTTTTTTTTGTTTTGTTGCAATGACCAAATATTTAGGTGTAGCCAACCACTCAATATTTAAAACTTGAATATGAGAATGTAACTGTCAAGTTATAAAACTCCATTTGTGTGTGTGTGTGTGTGCTTGTATGACCGCTTGTCAACCCTATTATGTCTGTGTTCATAGTATATTCCTGTTTTTACCCCCGTGTGTATGTGTGTGTTGCATTTGATGTGAGTGTGATGGTGCAGCACATGTGGGGGAAAAGTGACGTGTGGCTGTGCGTTAGCCCAACACACATTCTGATGAATGTTGCCGCTTTATGGCATCTCTGTAATGTTTAGGCAGTGTGACATAGCAGTGTGTTTCCGACCGGAGCGGTGATGGTAAGCTAAAGGCTAAGGCCGTCTGTAGTGAACAAGGTGACCCATATACTTACACACCTGTTCATGTCTGGTGCACAAACAGTCATTAATATCAAGGCATTTTATAACTCGGTTCATGATTGAAGTGTTGCGGAGCGGGTCAATGCTTTCTATTAATTGTGTGTTGTTCTCATTGCTACTGCAGCCGCCTATCTCTGATGGCTATTGGCCAGAGCTGGCTTGCAGATCTTGATGATGGTTTTGATACATCTACACCCTACTACCACAGCTCAGTATATGGTTGGTATGATGGGTTTGTATGATGGGTAAGATTTCTTTACACCCCTCATCTAATTTTAGGTTAGGTGTACTAAATCACTGTCAAAATTTAGGGCTAAACATAGGGCTTCCAGTTGTCATTGAGTGTGGCTTGGGCCAGGTGTAGTGAGTTTGAGCCTGTCGTTAATCTCTTCTATTAAAGCCATCGTGCTACTACTAATGTGGTTGTACTCTGCGAGATTTAGACTGTTTGAGCGTTACGTTTGAAACAGAACAGTGTAGTAAAGAGAACCTGTTGGAGGTATTGCAACAATGTATGCAGCACACAATTGACGAATTATGTCAAAGTAAAAGCTGATCTTGATTTGATTTATTTATTTATTTTTTTGTTACATATTAAAAACATGTCGAATAGATGCTTTAATTAAAATGTAATTGTTATTAATTAACAAAGTTATTTGCCTGACATGCAATACCTGATATTAAGGTGCAGTCACATTTGGCGTTTGGCGAAGGCAGTTTTGGCAAGCAAAAATTTAATTTTAACAGGATTCCAATCAAGAATTTAGCATTTCGGGAGGGCAAAATATTTCCCATGCAGTTTTCGCTACGGGTTCAAGTTGGTCGCAGAAATTCGCCGCATTGTACAACAGAAAGCGGCTAGGTTTGAAAGTGACTTTTGTGTGACCTGTGGTTCATGTATCGCTACACTATTGACAATACACAATGGACCTTTTGTCCATGAAATTGTGACTGCACCATAACACTGTTACGCTGCAAAAAAAAAAAAGCATCCACTTTTGTGTTGTGCAGTGATAATGTGAATGCATATTTCACATTATTACTGTGGCTGTTTTTTATATCGCTAAGTGTTAATATCTTCTAGGCCAGGACCATAACTGTTATATTATGTAAAAGATGGCACAAAAGACACTTATTTTGTAATAATTTTTTTCATATAAAAATTCTTAGTGTGTATAGTAGGGTTGTGACGGTGACCGGTAATACCGGTATCACTGCGGGGCGTTCCCACTTTTCCTCGCTTTCCTTCGCTTTTAAATAGCTTGTAAAAGCGGTGTGTCCATTTTACTTTCACTTTTGAATTAACGGCAGTTTGGCGTCAATTGCTTGAATGCAACAACAAAATACAACGTCAAACTCACTTTAGCCTATATATAAAACATAGAACTTGTATTAACAAAACAAATAAAAATACACCATGCTATAGGGCAAGCTATGCCTAATATAAAATAACAAATAAAAAATCAAAATGACGGTGGGGGTCGGTGACGCGGTGGGCAAGTGACGTAACCGGTGTTGCGGCTTAACACCGGTATCACCGTCTATCGCGGCAAGCCTAGTGTATAGGTATAATATTTGCTCAGATGTTTGGAATTGGCTTTAATAGAATAGATTACCAAGGGCATTAGATATTCAAATCACTGCACGGAACCCAGTTACATTTAAAGATACTTATTATTATCAAGGATTCACCTTGTACAGCTTCAATGGTCAAATTCAGTCCCAGAATTCTTCTGTGAGATACTTACTCCATAAGTCTAAGAAATTTCCATTTAGGTTGAGAAGCGAGCAGCTGCATGGAGAGTAACCTTTCCTATGTGTACAGCTTAGCTGTTTAAATCTTTATCTGTACAACTCCAAGTGGGCTGAAAAAAACGACATGGATACAACCAATAAAATAAGTAGAATTAACGTTTTTACTTTCCTTAACTCAAATGTTAAGGGTTTATTCCATTTCATTTCTCATATTTTTTTTCAAAATTTTAGATTTACAAATTTTACAGCATTGTTGGAGATATTTTAAAATCTCACTTGCGAGGTAGATTTCGTCAAGAATATGAGAGATATTGTTATGGATATGAGGGTGGTTGGTAAGCCCCTCTTATTGGATAGGTAGGTGAGGGTTGTGGTAAGGCCCTCTGTTAACTGATAAAAATGAGGGTGGATGGTAAGGCCCTCGTGTTGGGTAGGTGCCTTGAGGGTGTTTGGTAAGCCCCTCTAGTTTGGCACTCTTCTTGTCAGTCAGCTCGACTCACTCTCCTCACTGGAGAAATTAAATCTGATCTGTGATGCGACTGTCGTTCGGCACGCTGCATTGAGCAGCCGCGTTCAGTTTTTAATTGTAGTGTCTGTTCTTTTACTGAACTAAATGATTTTTATTACTATAAAAAATCAAAACGACGGTGGGGGTCGGTGACGCGGTGGGCAAGTGACGTAACCGGTGTTGCGGCTTAACACCGGTATCACCGTCTATCGCGGCAAGCCTAGTGTATAGGTATAATATTTGCTCAGATGTTTGGAATTGGCTTTAATAGAATAGATTAACCAAGGGCATTGGATATTCTAATCACTGCACAGAACCCAATTACATTTAAAGATTCTAGTTGTCATGGATTCACCTTGTACTGCTTCAGTGGTTAAATTCAGTCCCAGAATTCTTCTGTGAGATACTTACTCCATAAGTCTAAGAAATTTCCATTTAGGTTGAGAAGCGAGCAGCTGCATGGAGAGTAACCTTTCCTATGTGTACAGCTTAGCTGTTTAAATCTTTATCTGTACAACTCCAAGTGGGCTGAAAAAAACGACATGGATACAACCAATAAAATAAGTAGAATTAACGTTTTTACTTTCCTTAACTCAAATGTTAAGGGTTTATTCCATTTCATTTCTCATATTTTTTTTCAAAATTTTAGATTTACAAATTTTACAGCATTGTTGGAGATATTTTAAAATCTCACTTGCGAGGTAGATTTCGTCAAGAATATGAGAGATATTGTTATGGATATGAGGGTGGTTGGTAAGCCCCTCTTATTGGATAGGTAGGTGAGGGTTGTGGTAAGGCCCTCTGTTAACTGATAAAAATGAGGGTGGATGGTAAGGCCCTCGTGTTGGGTAGGTGCCTTGAGGGTGTTTGGTAAGCCCCTCTAGTTTGGTATGGTAGTCTGAGGGTTGTTGGTAAGGCCCTCTAGTTGAGATGTAAGGAGAGGTGTGTGCGAAAGGACTTGAGGGTTTGATGGTAAGGCCCTCAAAATAGGTTTCAACTGAACGTCATCGACAGTGCAGACCAGAGTAGCTTCGTGGATTTCATCGTATCGCTTGTTGAAGGATTGGATCCCTTATTCCTTGATTCAAGGTTGTCCAGTTTTGGTAAAAAAATAAAAATAAATAAATTATCAAAAACACTGAAGGACATTTTGATTCAAGGCAGCTGGAATCACCAGGCTACGTTTCCGTGGGGTTTTCCATCAAGGACTTCCATCCTTGGCCAGGTGTTATGGTAAGATAGCATCTCCAGGTAATGTGGTAACATTGAGATAATTACTAAATACTTAAGGGCTTAGACTTTTACCTTAGACCAGCAGAAGGAAAAGGACCTAAAGGTATTGGCCATATTGAAGTGAGAATTTTGTAACTTATTTAAAAGCAGTTGTTCTAGCATATCTCATATTTATAATCTAGAATCTAAAAGTAAAGCTCTGCAAAATGTTTTCTTTTTTCCCCTTTGGTTTGTCATGACGTGAGTGTGAATGGTGCTTTGATGCTCATAGAAATTGTGTATGAGTGTGAATGAATGTGTAAGATTTTGGAGAATGGAGAGTGTGGCTTTTAGCTTAATTGTATTCACTAAGTGCCTTTTTTCTTATTGTTGCTTTAAGATTTAATGAGAATAAAACTGTTAATGGGTAGTTATTGTGGATTACCCTAAATTTGGAGATGATCTGTGTGGTCCAAGCTGTTGACGGCAATGATTCCTTGTTTTTGTGATTTACCTTGAACTGCCTCGATTTATATTTGCATCACTTAAGTTCTGTAGCGCTCAAATGTTCCTTCATATTTCTTTTTGAACATCAGAGAGATTTTTTTCAGAATTTTACTAAGCTTTTCAAAGCACATGCTTTAGTTTCTTTGAACTTTGTCAAATGGTGTCTGGATTTTGATTTTTCATACTGAGTATTTAGATGGCCCTGCGACATTTTTAGGGCCCTATGAAATCCATTTTATTTATTTTTTCAAAATTCCTTTTTGTTTTTTTTTTTGTTTTTTTCTCAGTTAAAATTTTTCTGGGTTGCGTTTTTTCCGTTTTAATGGATAAATAAATTTTTATTCAGCGAAAAGCATGTCTAATTAATTTAAATCATGAAACTTACGATATTAAACGGCAATTTATTA